ATTTTTCTTACCATACAATAAAACAAACCTTGAAATACATAACTGACGAATAAATTTTTCAAAAATATGGCGGTATACTTCATTGTCATATTGTACAAATGGTCTCTTTTTTTTTCACAGACTCTCTCATACATCAGGTAGACATGAAAGAAACAAAAACAATCGCTCTTTATTGATCCTAGATAAACGTGTTTCATCATAATACTCAAATCTCTCATTGACATTCAACTAGTATAAGATACTACGACTAGTTTTGAATATATATAGAATGTCAATTATTCGTGCAGTTATGTATTTCAAGGTTTGTTTTATTGTATGGTAAGAAAAATAAAATACAAAAAACAGTCACAATATATATTCATTGCAAGTTAGGTCAAAGAGAAACAACAATAAGCGGTATATCTCAAAAGAATAGTGGGGATAGAAATGCAATGGGTTTTCATGATGACTCAGTTATGATTTTTAGTCTGTGAAAAAAAAGAGACCATTTGTACAATATGACAATGAAGTATACCGCCATTTTCGTAGGATTAGTTTTCGCTCTATGCAATTTAGTGGACTATGTTCTTAGTGATGCATCTAATTTTGTATCAGCTTACGGGCTTATAGTGCGCTCTTCTATTCAGCTCAACGACCAATTGTACGAAGTAGTTGTGTCATCAGAAGAAGTGCGTGGTGACCAAAAGATTCGAATATTAGTTCCCCACGAATATGCAACTAGTGGTAATACTCGCCGTTACCCCGTACTTTACTTATTACATGGTTCATCTGGTGATGCAGCAGATTGGACGACAGTCGGTGAAGCTCAAGACATCTGTGGTAATGCATCATTAATTACTGTTATGCCGAATGGTGATCCATTTGGATTCTATACTAATTGGGTCATTCCTGGTAATGCTGCTCCACAGAATTGGCGTACATATCATATGGAGCAACTGGTACCTTGGATTGATTTTAATTTGCGCACAGTAGCTAAAAAAGAAGGTCGTGCTATAGCTGGCCTTTCGATGGGAGGATTTGGTGCCATTCGTTATGCTGAACAGTATCCTGATAATTTTGCTTATGTAGCAGGTTTTTCTGGTGCACTTGATTTACTTGATAAGCGTGTTCAACGAGTCATTCTTGATTTGATAATTATTGATGGAAAACCACTTTTGGGTCCATTTGGTTCTCCTTCTGAACCTTTGGATTCAAGTGCATGGTTCGCTCAAAATCCAATTACTCATGCTGCATCGCTACGTGGTGTAGCCATAGCCCTCTATACAGGCAATGCTGATGATTTGGAAAAAATACTGCGCGATACGAATTATCGTTTGCGAGACGGGTTGATTTCGTTGAATATTCCACTTTATTTTGACGATTATGAAAATGGACAATCGATTGGATATGGTTGTGACGGAGGACATAATTGGCCATGTTGGAATGCAGCACTTATTGATGTATTACCTCGTATGATGATTGTTTTGCAACAACAACACTAAAGAAATATCTAAATTCAATTTAATGACGAATAAATTTTTCAAAAATATCTTATCGTCATAGATTAAGCTTTGGAAATAAATTGATTTAAAATATTCTCTTTCGTATTTTAGGTTCTCTTTGTTAACTACTGTAGTAATGATTTCAATAATTGACACAAGTTGTGCTCTATTTGATTTAATTTACTGGTTTCTAAAACGTAGCCTACCTAAATCATTTTTAAACAGTTTTTATTTTTGAATGAATTTTTGCTCTTCAAATAAATACATATACACGAAGAGGCGGAGATGCTCAGTTTTTAATTATACTTCATGTTCAGTGTGTGTAAAACTTTTATACTGAGTGAAGCCATTGAAGATTCTGAAAATTTTCGAACGATGCACATCAATTACATTTATTCGATTTTAAAATATTTTTGAAAGAAGACAGTATAACAAAACGAAACAAGTTGTAGACGGTATCTATATTTATAGTTATTGCACCCAATAAAGCAACCAACTAATTAACTAATGACTCTCTCATCATCAAATTCATTATCTTCGTCTAACTTTACTTGGTCTTTTCTTGGCTATAATTAAGAGTTTCGAAACAATGTATGATCGAGCTTTGTTTTTTAATTTGAGAGTGTGGCGTTCATTCTTCGCGTCACAAACTGCGAGAAAACCCTTAATCAATTTCCTGTTCCGTCTCATATCTCAGCTTGTGTTTGACGCTTTTGTTCGCATTCATTTCGAAATCGAATTTGTGCTCGTCTTTTCGCCGAAGAGTATCGCTGATCAATCCGATCTTCTCGACAAGTGTGACAATGATGCGACGTCATTTCTCAGCGATTTTATTCAGTAATGCCAAACAAGACAACACTTCGTTAGTTTTTTACTGCATTGATTGCACGATTAGAAATGAACGTGCACACCGGTCACAGTGTTTGTTGTATTGGACGAGCCATTTTTGTTCCATTCAGAGGAAAGCAAGGGGCGTTGAGGCGCAAGAAAATCTCAGGTTCGACCACACAGAACGGATAAAAAAGTGTTCGCTGTTCAGAAATAGGAGATGCCCTTGTTATAGAAGCTCATTGCAGCACAAATCGATCCGTCGTTGTGCCGGATGCCCACATAATTAGGTGTCTTAGAGGCTTATACAGGTCCCATTCAAGAAGATTGTATCCGCTTTACGGAACTGAAAAAAATAAACGTACCGTACGAAATCCTCAAGGATTTTGGAAAAAAATACGAAACCTCTTTTTAAATGTCGATCAATGAAACACCAATTGAATCCAGAAAGCGAATTTAAACCATATCAGTGTGTGCGATGGCCCTTAACATCTTGCTCTTTTTATTTCTCGTTATTTGTACTATTTCAATCAAAATGAATTCTACTGGACATAATTTAACTGTAATCCGTTTCCAAATAACCGATAGAAATAAGCAATGCCAAAAATAAAAATAATTTACTTTTACTTTTCTTTTTTCTTTTTCTTATCGTCCTTTTGTTTCTTTTTCTGTTCTTTTTCCTTCTCCTTTTTCTCTTTGTTCTCTTCTTCTTTCTGTCTCTTCTTTGCTTCTTTTTCCTTTTCCTTCTCCTTTTCTTTCTCTTTCTTTTCATCTTCTTTCTGTCTCTTCTTTGCTTCTTTTTCCTTTTCCTTCTCCTCTTCTTTCTCTTTCTTCTCGTCTTCTTTCTGTCTCTTCTTCTCTTCTTTTTCCTTTTCTTTCTCTTTCTTGTCTTCTTCTTTCTGTGTCTTCTGGTCCGGTTTCTGATACTTTCTGTCCGCTATGCGATAGTTTGATTCTTCAGATGACGACATTATAATATTATCGTTGTCACCATTTTTCGAACGAGCGATGGACAACAAGGTATGCTCGCCAATGTCTTGTAACTGTTGTCTGGACGACAAATCGCTGATATTGTGAGCATTGATGGAGAAAGTAAAATCATGCCCGTGGTGCTTGTGAACATTGCCCAATCGGGACTCTTTGTCTGTCAAAGAAAAAAAATAATCTTTTGTTGAATTGTTCCACTACGGTTGAAGAGCTAGAATCAGTCATTCATAATTCGAGTGTGAAAGAGCCAATAATTTTAATAAGACATATTTTGGATTTATAACAGCAGGATGGTTCTTTTGACAGTGTACCACAGTTTACATCGACTTTGTCCAGATTGTTCGAGAGTAACGTGACTAGTAGAACTCGGGCTCCTGATGACAAATATGATATTTAAAAAATTTTGAAACAACGGCATGGTGGTCTTCTAGACCTGTGGAAATCCCATTTCTCGACAGAACAGTCCTTTTGTAGGCATTTTCACCATTTTTTAGTGAAACATTTTCATGAGCTGGTGCCATGAGATTAGCTTCTATATGTGCGGAGCTACAGAGTCACTAGCGGACAAAAGTTCCAAAATGTTAAGCACGTTCTCACGAAAATGTGTTTTTTCCGAAAAGTAGGCCTTTTTTGTAAACCATTTTTTCCCGATAAGATCACATCAACACAAGACAACAAAATGCGCATTCGACGCGTCTTTTCAATTTCTATCCGATGAAAAGATTATTTGAGATTATTGGATGAAGGGATTTATATATTATTGCACTGCGATTATACAACATTTAATGATAGAAAAAAACTGCTGTTAAAGGCGATTTTCGTCGTTTTTCAAAATCTGAGTACATGCTGCAAAATTGTACGGGATTCCAGAACGTGGGATAACATATACCCCGCTTGTACTCGACATTGGCTATTAGAAAAACAGGCTTTTGTCTTTGGCTAAGTTCTTTCACGGAAAAGTATTTTTCCAGCGAAAACACGAAAGGATTTTCGTCTGTTTTGAAAGTACTTGGCCAAAGACAAAAGCCCTCGAAAAAGCTTTTCGGAAAAAACACATTTTCGTGAGAACGTGCTTAACATTTTGGAACTTTTTGTCCGCTAGTGACTTTGTAGCTCCGCGCATATAGAAGCTAATCTCACGGCACCAGCTCATGAAAATGTTTCACTAAAAAATGGTGAAAATGCCTACAAAAGGACTATTCTGTCGAGAAATGGGATTTCCACAGGTCTAAAAGACCACACAGTGTGCATCCAGGCGGACGTTAGGTGAAAAAATGAAAATCGACTTTTCGACGATTCACATAATGATTAATATACTTCAAGTGATGCTCTATTTGATGACACAACAAATTTTGTTACAAAATTTATGTATCGCGGGAAAACAGCTAATCAAAAATTAGCCTGAAATAGTAGTATAAGTGAAAACAATGAAATTTTCACAGCAGTCAATGAAGCTGTAATAAAAAACGACATATATTTCTAAATCTGCATGACAGCAGCTATAAGAAAACTTTAAATTAGACTTATGATAGCTGAGGTAAAGTGAGCGCACGAAAGTTAGCGAAGGTCCATACTTAACCAAACTTTCATAGAATGTTCTCCTATATGCCTGCACCTACGGTGAATGCGCAAAAATGCGCAAATGTTTTTGAAGCATACAGCCGGTTTTCCAAAAAACCTTCACTAAAAAATGGTGAAAATGCCTACAAAAGGACTGTTCTGTCGCGAAATGGGATTTCCACAGATCTAGAAGACCACCATGCCGTTGTTTCAGAATTTTTTAAACATTATATTCGTCATCATATTCGTCATCATATTCGTCGCTTTTAGTATCGTTGGATGAGATAGTCTTTTCCGAGAAACAGTGTATTTGACTGAAATAGATCTTTTGACAGGTTATGATCACTAACTTGGTTTGCTTTGACCAATAGCAACAATGGGTTGATCACTGGCCTTAGCTCTATTGGAAGTTGAATTGACCGAAGCTTTGCCATATGTTGCTAAAGTGTATGAATGCATATGTATGTAGCATTCTTATAAAGATATGTATACAATGGTCTACTTTCTGGTTTTCTCTATAGGAAAACAAACACTCAGTTTTGAGTACGAAAGACATTGAGAGAGACGCACAAGTGTTTAGTGTCTATTCAGTGCGCATGACTGAGTGTTTCTGTCTGAGCAAAGACGTCTGAGCAGGGAGCTTATAAAACTACAACAAATTTATATTTCACCTACCGATGATACAAAACATCAATAAATAAGTAAATTGAAGCTGCATGATCATATACTTCTTTGATCTAGACTGGCTAGAATATCATACTCGTATTATACTCCCTACATATGTCTATATATTAATGTGCCCACAAAAGAAGATAATATATACGTTAATCCATTATCATTATTTCCTTCTTTAGTTAAATACTTTGATCTTCATGGTTACTGACAATATGTTGAGTTTTTTTCTTGTATAAAAAACGAAGTGAAGGGCAAGATTAAGAGATTACAGTTGCCATATGCATCTTAGTAAAGACCTTCTCTCGCATTAGTAGATCCACATCATTCTCTTGCGCATCTACGTACATACTATGAGGGCTGCGCAAATATAAGTACAAAATGTACGCTGACATGAATATTACCCCTATAAATAAACCCAGAGTTTTAGAATTCGCTTCATCAAAGTCATTCGTATTAAAGTACAGTTACAGTAAAATACCTCAATATACACAAGCAGATTCTGCTATTTGAATCTTGTTCTGCGATACATGCATGTATGTATCACAGAGTACTCTCATAACTCTTTCTGGAAGCGCTTTTCAAAATCAGAGGCACCCTGGTGAATGTACTTGAGACTAAGTGCTTAAACAAGTACTTGCGTATGTAATGTCCAGAGTACCTGGAGTTTTTGCAAGTAAAAAAGGTACTTTAAGCAGTGTATAAATTTAAGCAATTTAACTACTTGATCAACTTGACAATTTCTAATTTCATCTAAAAGTCCTGTTTCACAAACTCTGTTTGACAAGTTCTTACGGAAGTACAAGCACAAGTAATATGATAAGCACTTGCAAATTGTCGGTAACTTCAGATAGTTTGTAGGTACCTGGCAAGTATTCGTGACGTTCTTCTATACAAGTACTTGAAGCACTTGGCCATTACTTATCTAATAATGTTATCATTTTGAGTTAAAGCAGAGATCCACTTTCAATAGTTAGATGTTGCATCGCACAATTACGATCGACTATGTAACTGCACACATGTGCCGCATATGGCTGCGCACATGTTCATTAGATCCATCATGGCCGATAATCACAGCAAAATATCAACATATTGTTTAACGCCCAAACAGTTTTTTAAGTAAAACGTATTTGACAGAATCAAAACTTATTTTGCGTTTTTCTTAAGACTGTTTTTTAGCGTTAGGGCTTTCACCACGCACAGGAATTCTCGGTAACGATACATCGGAGAAAGAAATTTTTTTTTTGATTTGTAGATAACACCTATAGGTAGGAGTTGACAGAATCCGATTTTTAAATTATGCTTCTGTCTTTTAAAAAAATGAGGATTTCTAAGAAACCTTCCAAGGATTTTTCGGACTTTAAAATTCTATTAAATACCAGAAATTAGTAAATGAGAAATTTAAAAATCGGTCCACATTCTCTGAAAGTTTGCTCCAGATCCAACCTACCTGGGCTGAGATAGATTTCTGCACAGTTTATTGAACGGACAGCATTTCTCATGAACCAGTAGTAGTACTGCCGACCTCTTAGGTAGAGTTTTGCTCTCTTTGTGAGCATTTGACAATGCCTGCTTTTTTGACGCTGTATAATTTAGCATGGAAAGAGAAACAGGACTCGTTATGTCAATTGGAGTACACATTTTTACGGCGTGATTTTCTTTCTCGTGTTTATCCCTCAGTTTTTCTCACGCCACAAAAATATGTACACTAATTGATATAATAAATCCTGTTTCTCTTTCTATTCTATTGATTTACGTACAGAAGGAAAAAAAGACGTCGTCATAACACATTAGCATTGAAAAATGAGAATGAACAATTACGTGGCACAGTTCGTAAATTAGAAAGTGAAAATACACGGCTACAATTATTATCAACATCAGATTCGAATCCATCACCAGATAAAAATAATAGCAAAGAAAATATACCACCTAATTCCTCATCTCGATTGTTATTCAGACGTTTAAGCTTTGGAGCAGGTAAACGTGCCACTTTACATCTGATCGGTCAAAAAAGTGACCTTTCCAGGGATACAATAACAGTAGGTATCACTCACTATCTTTTTTAACCTAAACTGATAATGAACCGAATGATCTATAGGATTAATTTTTTGTCCACGATATTGTTAAATTTTAGAAAACGAGACAGAAGTTTGTTATAAATCTTTCAAATAAATATTCATCAAAATCAACAACAACATCATCGACTATTTTAAACAACAAAATCGAAACTTTTTTTGATCAGGATAACGTTTCGCGTGTATGTCCAGATAAACAAAAACATAAACATAATTATCAAATTAGACATCGATTGAATAACCTTACTACTTTACATGTAAGTACTTAAAAAAGACAAGTATTTCTTCATCCAAAATTCTTAATTTCATACCATAAACTATTGAATTACCATCACTATCTCTCTGCTAATTTTCGTGCCATGTTTTTGAATTTCAGCAACGTTTTGAAGTTGAAACTGGAATCGATATAGGTTATTCTACATTTACAAGATATGCCCCAGATTTTATACTTAAGCCAAATGTGGATTCATGGGGAGTAAGTAACTTATAATATTCCATAACTTCTTATTTTTTTGAAATTTTTGCTAGTTTCGGACATGTATGTATATGACCTGCTTGAACCGAGAATTAAAAACAGATAAACTACGTTTAATAAAACAACAAACATCCACAATGACCAAGAACGCCGAGTCTCCTTCCTCATAATTTAGAAGAATTTGTGAAAGATGAGACCAAATTTAATGAATTTAAACATGAATTATACAAATTAAAACAGGTTATTTTTATGTCACATATGGCAAAAATCAAAGTCAAGTCGCAATATCAACAAAAATTATGTTAATATCAACAATTGAATCATTTATAACTAAACTAATATTTGAAAGTGATGTAAGATTTGTACCATTTAAAACTTCTATAATACTTAGCAACCTGGCCCTACTTTACATTGAGTTACTTGCTAAACATGTAGTTCGGATAGAACAAGTTCGTGCTGCTAAATTAGCAAAATATCATGCATTACATGATGATAATACAGAGACTGTCTTGCTGGATTGAAGTATGAATTTCAAGTTAAAACAAGCTAGAGAAGAAAAAGATAGTAATTTGTTTGTTTCTCCTTCTGCATGTTTCAAAGGAAATTTTTCCCTTACAGGAGCTCATTATAATGCTAAAAATATTTCAGTAAATACAAGATATGTTTACACAACGGAAAAATCTTAGATTTTCCGATCGTCATCAGATGATACCAGTCATGTGTCAGAAGCAATAAAAAAAAGATCTGTTTTTCTTTTTTTTGGAGTGATTTAATGGAAACCGTTGAGAATGATACAAATATACGTTTATTTATCTATGATAAAAATGATATCGATAATGTGAAAGAACAAATTCCAACAGTGAAAACTATTAAAAGAATAGTGAGTATGCATGAATTAATTGGAGAGAAGAATGGTCAACTATACAGTAAAGATATATCAAGTGATACAGAAAAATTATTAAAAATTAACCTTTAAAAACAGTTAATTTTCTTGACAATTTTTATCGAAAAGAAAATGATTGAATTTTTTCATTTGTTCGGTAGTTAATCGTTAGAATCACAGTGTTGTTAAAACAATAATAGTGGTAATAATAGAAAACTAATTCTAACATCATTATAATAATCTCCGCTTTAATACAAGCAATAACACTTAAGAACTAAAGAAAGGTCTTAAAAGACTATCATCCAGGTATTTTTTAAGTGGCTCACTATTTCTTACTACAGTTGATCCATTTTCAGGAAAAGAGAACGCTCTTCACAGTAATAAATAATAATCTATAGCTGCGTATATGTGCACATGTACTGAATATACTTCGCATAAGTACTATCGGATTCGCGTTATCGAGTTCTATCGATTCCTACACGACACTCTATATTTTCTCTTAAGAATAATCTTTTTTCACGTCGGGACAGTATTTCTGAAAGAAAGGATTGAATTTTTTCTCCTTCCATGTGGTAACATGTAGGGAAAATATTATATTGGTAGACAATCAACATAGCTCTATATAACGCACTGCTCAGATTTTCCTTATTTGCAACTTTCTTTTGTCTTATCACTTTTCACTCATCTTCTTTGTCAAATTTTCTCGATTTTGACCACGTATGGCATCACTTTAAATTTGGTAGATTTTTAGAAGTAGAGTGAAAAGTGATGAACAAGAAATCAAGAAAAGAAAAAAGCTCGATCTCTCTGCCGATATATATATATATACATATACGGTGTGTCTCAAAATTGATAGACCAGAAAAGTCGACCAGAAGTGTCGTTCGCGGAATAGGCGTGTCACATGATGCAACATTAATTTCTGAACACCATATTTTTCAACTTATTATTACTCATGGAGTCTAGTATATATGTCGATATTTTCATCTCGAAATTCCAAGTTGTTAATCTCTTATTGGAAATATAGTCAGCACATATGCTTTTTTACTGTTCCAAAATTGATAGACCTAAATTCAAGGGAGAAACAGCGGACTCCAGACGCATGGAGTCATTTGGAGTCAAGTAGAGTCAAGTGAAGTCACTTGATGCGTTGGAGTTAATTGATGAGGTGGAATCAGGTGATAGGGTGGAGCCCACGAGAGAAATAGCAGACTAGATGGGACCCCGGTCTTGCGAAGTCACTTGGAGTCAAGTAGAGTCACCTGATGTGGTGTGCTCAGAAGGTAAAATAAAAGATTCTATGAGATTCGACGGAGTCTGATGGACTCCGGGGAGATGATGGCTTATTTCAACTGTGAAGGACATTAGCTTTTCGACGAGCTCTAGCTCCCTTGAGCTGTGAGCTAGTATGAACTCGTTAATGGTTTATTCCCCAAAACGGAACATTTTGCTCTATCAAAGTATCCAATTCCCAAAACAGAACAAAAGTTTTCCATTTTCGGGAAAACATTCCCATAACAGCAGATTTTTTGTTCTGTTATGGGGATTGACGCCCTTGAAAAAGTAAATTTGTTCTGTTTTTGGGAATCGAATTTCATAACACGACATTTGTTCTAGCATGGGAATACAACAATGACAAGTTCTAAAAAAAAGGCCAATATACTCGGTCAGATATGACTTGTCTGGAGTCAGTTGAAGTCAGTTGAAATCAATTGAACTCATTTGGAGTCAAGTGAAGTCAGTTGGCGTGTTGAAGTCTGGAGTCCGCTGTTTCCCCCTTGCCTAAATTGCTGGCGCAGAGTAAAAAAATAAATTTTTTGTGACAAAAATTAATAGCCTGTTGGATACCCTTTTTGTTTTAAATATTCACATAAGCGATTAGGAACTGAACCAACTAACTTTTTTGTAACATCTTGCCCAATCCTTTGCCATTCCTCCATGAGACTCTTTTTCAGCTCGTTCTGGTTTTCCGGCTGATGTTTTTCCATCCGTCGATCAAGTTCATGCCACATATGCTCAACAGAGTTCATGTCAGGTGGATACGGCGCGCAAACCAGTCTCACAACGTCTTTTTCATCGAGCCACTTTCACTCACAACATCTGGTGTCTGTTTTGGGTCATTATTGTTTTGGAATATCATTTTCTTACCTGGCTTCAATTTCTTTGCTGTCTGACGTAAATCTTTTCTCAAAATGTCTTTTTAGACTCCCAGGTCATTTTACCGTTAACAAAAGACCAAATTACTGACTTCATTCCAGGCGAAACATCCCCAAACTTTCACATTTTCTCCGTCATATTTCACCGTTGAAACTGTACAGTTCGGATCGAAGTCTTTTGCCGGAGTTACTCTTCCGTCTTTCTAACTGACCCAAACAAATTTATTTGAATCCGATTTCCAGAACTCAAAGCTTTGTCTCAATACATGTTTTGCATAATCTAATCTTTCGACTGGATTTGCTTTATTCACATTCGGTTTCTTCCGCGCAGGATGACCTACAAGTTTTGACTTTCCGTTGAATGACCTTGTCAACTCTTACTGTTGTTTTTCGCTTTGGATCTTGACCGAGAATATTATCGACACGCTTGGTTTTTTTGTACTTTCGAATCATATAATTTTCGAAATTAACATTTTCACAGTAATTTCAAGTTCAGTATCTCGCGAAATTTGTTTCTGTACTCCTTCGGTAATGTTTCCATCGTTATTTTTTACTCATGAAAATGCGATGTAATTATTCGACTATGTATGGCGTGATTTTAATTTTCTGAAAATTTGATAAACAAGTAGAGTGAAAAAGGATGAGTAAAGAAACAAAGAAAAGAAAAAAGACGATCTCTCTCTTTATACATTTTATATACTGTTTAGTTTTTTGTCGTGTTACTTCAGTGTAACACTCTGTACGATGTATTCAATGACCGTATAAATAGAGTGTGTAGTTTCTTGATCAAAGTGATCGAAATGATCACGAAAAAATAACACTTTTGGTTACCAAATCAATTAAAGAACACTTAAATTAAAGAAAATGTATAGAAAAAGAATATATACCAAATTAATTAGTGGACAGACAACAAAAAGAATATAAAGCAAATATATATGAGAAGAATACAACAACAAGAAATATGAACAGAATAGAAAAAACTACTTTATGGCAACAAGGCTGTACGAACTTTTTTTGGACGACCGTTACTTTTTCTCTTACGCAAGTGAGACTTATTTTCTGTATGTCTGGGATTCTTGTATTTGCTGTGACAGAAATGTTTTTTATAATTTCTTTCAACAAGAATAATTTATTTATCTATATTATGGATTCGCACATTGTGTTTTTTTACTTCGCTGCGAACCGGCTTTATAAACTTTTTTTAATTTCTCCGCGAATGCGAACTATGCATACTATGCTAAAAAGGATACTCTCTATGCTCTCACTGCATTTGAACGAATATTTTGTATGATTTTTTAAATCTGATCGACAATATTAGTAAACATTAAACTGTAATTTTGTGTATTCTTTCGGGTCGGAGGAGGATCTAGCTGTGTGTAATACTTTCCATCCTTGCTTCAACATTTTTTTGACGGTGTCGACTACAGTTTAGGGCAGTTATTTATAACTGTTGTGAATTGACAAAACTAATATTTTAAAAAACATCAACTGTTGACATATTTCATATATTTTTCATATTTCTTCTTATATATATTTTCTTGAATTTAAGTTTTCTTGAATTGATTTGGTGACCAGATGACCAAAAGTGTTATTTTGGTTAGCATTTCGATAGAAAGAAATTTGATGATCAAAACACATTTTCGCTTTATAACAGGTCGAAAATTCGTATTTTAATAATAAATCGTTAATCATGTTAAACCAAGTTAAGGGTATCTCAGCCACAATTACACTAAAGTTTCTAATTACATTTGAAGTGAGTGTTCGGAAACTGGGTCACCTTGGAAAAAAACATTTTTTCTGCTATGTCATAAGTTTAAAAAGAGAGTATTTTTTACAGAGCATCAATTCGAAAAAAATAGTTTTCTCGGAGGCCGCTAGTATTCTTTTTTGCTTATACATTATTTCCAAAAACTCAGTATTTGGAACAAATATTTCTACACCATTAGATGGTCATATATCAAAGTATATATGATGCTATGTGAATCTTGAAAGTGCACTTCGATTTTTGGCGTAGTGTCCGCCTGAATGCCCACTGTATGATTCGGTAAGAGTTCGAATAACATTTCAGTCAGGAACATAAAAACTTGATATTAGATAGAAAACGACTGACCAAAAGACAGACATCAGTCCTATGAAAGCGAAATTCTATGTAATTTCTGATGCTCTGTCAAATGCCAAAGTTAGTTTTTTGATGTAATAAATATTACTAAAACACTTATGTGTTTATATCTGGACCAGAATATAGCCATAGTCCAACCGAGATATAAAGTCTATCTCTCTACTGCCTTGGTAGATAAATATGTTAGGTCATAATTTATTAGGCATGCACCAGTTCCAATCTTAGGCTTGGAGGATTGGTACCAGTTAGGCCTGGTACCAATCCCAACAATCTCCAGTTAGGCTTGGTGCCAATCCTAACAATCTCCAGTTAGGCTTGGTACCAATCCCAACAATCTCCAGTTAGGCTTGGTATCAGTCGGATTGTCGAATGCAGTAGGCAAGACCTTCACCGTACAACCTATGATGTAACCGTCATTGCACTATGCGCTTAGAGTAATTTTTTTTGTGCTTCTGTTTTACTTCAAAGAAGGTCACCCTCTCAGAAGTGTATTCTTATTTTTCTGTTGACGAGGTTTATTTAGTCCACTTATTTTAGTCCACTAACCGTAGTTTCAAACTTTTTTATATAAATAGACAGCTTCACTTCCACCATCGCCTATGAAAATGTCTTGTCTTACAGTTCGTGTCGTTAATCCGATGACTCATCATTTTACAGTCTAATTTTGCGGTATCGCCATCTAGTGCTAATTTGCCTTTGTTGATTTCGAAACTCTGCTAAATTAAACAGTCGTCTAAACGTTTATGTCACTTTCAGGTCGTA